AACACCCTCGCAAGCAGCTAGCGATTGCACGAGTTGTTTCGATCCTAGCACTCCTTTGTAGAAAGGGCACACTTTGAACATGACTGTATTCTATTAAAAATGATCTAACAGTGACGCTGTATAGGCCAGTCGTAAAACGTCAACCGCCATCATTGTTATAAATAAGTACGAGGCGCAAAACAGAATATAGGCCAACCCCTCTACTGGCGTGGCTTGTGGTAATTTATAAGGGTAAGAGAACGAAAACAGGGCAGAGAAACAAACAAAGAGACGGCAAGGAGAAATATAAAGAACGAGATAAAATTCTTCCTTAAACTTTTCTGCGCGAGGTGGGATTCGAACCCGCGTGTAGGGGGAATGAAGGCGAATGTCCTTAACCACTTAGCTATCCAGGCTGACTAACAGAGCGCAGCGTAGCCTTGACTAGTATAATGTATCATGTAGCCCGGGGGAAAGAAGGAAAGAGAGAGCAACGCATATCATCACTTGAAAGAGAAAAATACAGAGGAACAAAGCAAATAAAGAGAGTGAGAGAAGCATTTAAGGAGAGAGATAGAGAAAGAGATGGCAAGGAAGAGGAAGCGAAGGACACAGAGAAAATAAGACAGGAAATTAAAAAGAGAAAGAAAAAGATTGAAAGAAGGAGATAGAAATAAGTAAAAAGAGAGAAAGGCAGAAAGCAAGAAAGAGAAAGGAGAAAGAGAAAGATTGAAAAAAAGAGATAGAAATAAGTAAAAAGAGAGAAAAAGAGATAGCAAGAATGAGGAAATGACAGATGGAGAATATTGAAAGCAGAAAGAAGGACATAGAAAAAAACCACGCAGAAATGGTATGACAAAAAGAAAGAGAAAATGAGACAAGTAAACATGGAGAAAAAAGGTGACACAGCTCCGCTATTTCTTGGGGCTTTACACCCCTAGGGCGAAGCAGCTTCAGGTGTTTTACTGCGAAAGCTGCTATGTGATTACCAAAAAGGTCGCGTGCATCGTGCTGTTCGACGCCGCTGCTGGTGTCCGAAAGTGCCATCAAGGAAAATAAGAAAATAAATTTGGTGCACAAAGTACACCTATAGAACGTGAACACGGGTCTCCTGCGTGTCAGCCCAGTACACTACCACTGAGTGACGCCCCTGCTAGAAACTTCATCAAAAACTGGCCTTAGGCAGGCTTGATGTCCAGGAAAGAATAGTGTTATTATGAGTAATAAAGGGTGTTAGAACCAAAAATGAACAACCAGGGGCTACCCGAGGTGAATCACGTAACCAGTGGGTCCCCGAATGTTTCAACCCTATTACAAAAAGGCCCCGCCGCGGTGGTCTAGTGGCTGAGGTCTTAGCTGCTGACCCGCAGGTCACGGGTTCGAATCCCGGCTTAAGTGGCTGCATTTCCGATGGAGAAAGAAATGTTGTAGGCCCGTGTGCTCATATTTGGGTGCACATTAAAGAACACCAAGTGGTCGAAATTTCCGGAACCCTCCACTACAGCGTCTCTAATTATCATATGGTGGTATCGGGACGTGAAACCCCACATACCAATCAACCTATTACAAAACGTTCATGCATAATTTTTCATCAGCGTAAGTCTGTATTGTGTGGTGCACGTTTAAAATATGCGGCTTCAAGATGCCAACAGAAAAAGGCGTGCGTGAGTGGTGGCTGATATGAAGTCAAATTTCTTACGGGAATATAAAAGAATGGAATGGTAAACAAAGATAAATTCAGTTGTTTTATGTATAGAAATTTTAGCTTTTTTGTGTGTTTATATGTTTTCTTTTTTAAGGTTTTTTGTTTAGAAATCTAACACCTTTAAAAAATTACATATGTTACTTATTCAATCCACCCTTCCTTTCAGGAAGTGAATTATTTTGAAAAGCAAGGCACCGTCCCATACATGACCTATCCCCCTAGGTGGGTTGCATCAAGGCGTTGAGAAACCAACCAACCGACCGACCGACCGACCGACCGACCCTAGACGCCATGGCGCAGGTATCGACGTGCAAGTGACCCAGTAGAAATTCACAACGGAGATTTCAGGGGCCCATGACTTGTGAACACGGCAGCCCAGATAGCCCCAATAGGAAGCTGGCGAGTCGACCCGAGGAGTGCCAGGCAGTTGGCAAGGGGGTGCTTGTTCGTGAAAGCAGAGTGGAGGCAGTTCGCCAGTGTCACGGGCATGAGTGCCTGAGTTGCCAGGAGTTCCTGGCAGAGTTCAAGAGCCGGTGTGCCCTGCTTCACTTGACCTTAAGCTTCTACGGTACACGTAGCCATCGTGAGGCTACGGCCGTCACCAGGCCCACTAACGGCCGTTAGCCGGAGTGCTTGGCTCTGGCCCCTGGTTCGCGCGGCCGAAAAGACTGTCTGTCTTCATCGGCCTTGTCTTCGGTGTCTACCTTCTTTGTCATGCCTACATCTGAGCGTCGCCTTGCTGTTCGCTGAATTCCTGTGGTACCGACATTCCCGTGTTTCACCTCCTTTACGCAGACGAACCACGCATAAGCTCCAAGCATCCATCGGCGAGACGGTCTCGTGGTATATAGAACTCAATATGTGCGCTGCTTTTTCAGAGTTTTTTTGTGTTGTATCGCCTTGTGTTTTCGTGTAGCATCCTTGTTGTATGTGTATTTTGTGTGTCGTTCACATGAAATAACGAAAAATAGAAAACAGCCTCGTCATTTTATATACCGTCGTTGTCGTCAATGACAAAACAAAATCCACATAATCTAAGCATTCCAAGAACTCCATCACGAAGGCACATCATAAAAAAATGCACAAAATTTCTGGCAAGTGTGTAGTGGGTACCACGCTGGCATGATCAATTATTTGTTTCTTGGCCTATCCCCCAAAATGGGTGTGAGCCACACATATACGCCATCATCATTAGCATCATCATTGAATGCCTGCCTACTAAACAAAAATATGATAATTAAGTGCGTAATGAGTAACTTGAAAGTGGGCTTGCAGCATTTACCCAGACAGTGTTTAAAAAGGCTCTGAAAGGCAGTTTTCCCACTTTCGCTCAGTCTGTGCTGTATGTTCCACGCAAGCCTGGTGCTATATATCTTTTTTGACGTCGTTTGCATTCCTTACCTACTCTGAATAACTGGTTAATTTTATAGCCAGAAACTGCAAATTCAGTCCCCAATTTTCTGCCACTTATGAGAAAACGAAGACATCTCTCCCAATGCTCATTTATATATGTTCTCTTTACTTTTCCACCACCAATCCTCTATCAGTAAATTATTTCGTACGCGAATCTGTTTACATTTCATTGATGCCATTTAAAACAAAAAAAATATGCAGGCTAGTGCGAAATCATAGACACCGGTGGATATGACTGTATGCATTTAGGGCATCTTATATTGTTTCCTTAGGTACCACACTACATGCGAACTTCTGTTTTTTGTTTACTGAACACCGCTGATGAGTATGCGTTGCCAGGACACCAGTTAACGGACTATAAGCGCGGGTGACATTCTGACGCACATCGACAATACCAGGAGCTACGGAGCCTTGTTGATTACCTTGAGAGGTAAGACAGGCTTTGTCTCAAGTGTACCTTCGCAGGATTCAGCAGGGAATTCACTTCTCATGACCATCTCTTGGACAGCCCGTGTGAACTCTATTCTTGCTGTACGTGCAGAACTACGACTACTGTGTACTGCAGGCCTTGTATGGCGACTTGACGTCGACATTAGATTTTTTTTTCACTTCGCAAATGATTCCAGAAAGGTATAGTGCGCACGCCAAAAGATCACAACATCGGGACAGCAATGAAGGGCTTTGAGACCGGTACAATCTACCAATTGTTGACTAACTTCAAGACCATTTCACAGATTGCGGCGCACAACTAGAATTACAATTTTTAGAGCAGTGGAGCACGTGGCTGTCGACGCTTTGTTGGCCGTAGCTTCTACCTCACGTTAGCTGCAAGCTTCCGCTCATGCCGAAATTATAGCACAAGAGCATATTGCACGACGCATATTTGATATTATTATGGCTTCGCTCTTTGCATATTTCTGGAGAAAACAGGGGACGCAGCGGCCGCCTAGGCGTTTTAGACAAGTCTGATTTTATCTGGAAGGAAAATAACTATGTTCCTGCGGAACGCGACTGAGTCATGTGCCCAGCTCAGTCCCACGTTCGGACTGGCAAGTCGAGCCTGCCGGCTACTTCGTAGGCTCACTGAACTGCCATTTGATCTGTACATAAGGTTTGCTTTCTACATATGAGGCCCTGACTTCTCGTGCTTTCACGGTAGGAGAAGCGAGACAGCATAACAAACTGCTAACGACGTGTTATTTTGAACTAGTTCAATGACGTTATAAAGCAAAAGAAAATAATGCGTCAAACACATTCTGTTTGCTGCGTCACTCACGAAACGTGAAATATATAGTAATATTTGGAGATCAATCACACCTTAATGCAACAGATCACAACAGCAAAGTTTTAATTTAGTAAAAATTCATTTTATTCGAACTATCGGGTTAGGTACTTTATAGTCAATTTAATGTTTTCTCTCGTTTACTACTCGCTGTCCAGACTAGAAATAAGTTGCTGGCAGTCTTTAGGAAACATGGCCTTCAACTGCGCTTAAACACTATAAGGCACAAGCACCTTGAATGCATAGAAAACATGCACATATATGATTGAGTAGTACGTATATCATGTTCGCCAGTACAGTGCCGTGAATTTTAAGTTTTGATGACATCCATCGAACAGTTAAGTTTTCATCACATCCCCCAACCTAAACTCTGCGATTGCCGCTTTATGCAACAACGTCTGTTATTCTTAGTGACGAGCAGTGATCTAGGCTACTGAACACTCGCCCCAACAAAACCCAGTCATTTTACATTTCGACTAAAATTACATTGTATCACATTTGTTTCCTTACTCAGTCTGCTTGTAGTAGATATACATTCTTTGTCTATAGTGATTGCAACAATCACAGCTGAAGTCATTTTACCCTTTCATTATGTTTTCTACGGAAAGCGTTGGATCTCACCTGTAAACGGAGAGAAAACAAGCAAGACGAGGAACAAACTTGCGCGTGACATAGCGGCCTACGTGCCTGACGTGTGCACTAAGAGCTCACGGAGGTATACATCGATTATAAAGAGCCTTATCGTTTCGCGTGTTCAGCCCTTCCTTTCGACCGCACTATTGACACAAGATTTCGAAAGTAGGACGAGGGAGGAGAGGTTGCGCTTAGTGTGTCACAGTTATGTGCATATATGGGCTACAAGCACTTCAATATGAGAGGCAGTTCCGTAACTGGAAGTACGCCACTTGTGTGACACTTGCACTTGCAATGTTTGTAGAAACGTCATAGTAATTCTGTATTGCCACTACAGGCTATGCCAGCCATGGCAATAGAAACATGTAATCGCCAGTTACGGTAGCAAAACAATGCCCTTAATGAACAGAATGTTATATTTCAATAGCAGTTCGAACTTAAGCAGAAATGAAAGAAAAAAATACAATAAATCACAAAAGATGTAACGAATTCTACAAGGAACAATGCTATTTTATAACGTTATGTTGCAATGAATTCATATTTACGGTGCGTCTGAGAACAAACTTTTACAACTTATCCACGTCCGGGGCAAGAGAAATATTCATTATTATTTGTTTATGTTCGTGAATTTCATTACACATTTTAATTTTTTCCAAAATGGCAGGATATATGTTGCATGAATACGTAGTTTCATACTCGGTAGTTTGCACGTCATAGTTAGTCTTGGGTGTATTTGTTACTATTTATGTGTGGCGTAAATTGTAGTCTGTGCCTTGACTGATGTACCCGTTTGAAGATATCTCGAAGTTGCCATAATTTATTTAAATAGCCGAATGCAAATATTTACTTTTCAGAGTTTCTAACGTTCAGGATCCTATGCGCGTGATTAGTTTGGAAGGTTCAATGTATTCATTTGAAAATTTGAGCAAACGAACCACTCGTCGCGTTGCTAGTGCCAGTTTTTCCTATGTTGCTTTTGTTACTGTTCACCCATACTAAGAAGCTATAGCTAAGATGATAACGTGCAAGGGAGAAGCATAAATGTCTAACGAGCTTGACATGCACATAGCATCGTATTCGTTTGAGTAAGCGAGCTGATCGTGCAAATTTAGTTCGAACCTCGTTTATGTGCTCTGTACAGCTTCAGCTTTTGTGATATATAAGAGCTAAAAAACATGACATGTCACATGTTCTGGCTGCCATACGTGTAAATAAGTTTCTCAGCATGTTTTACTTCTTTAAACTTAGAACAAAACACAGTAACTTTTGTTTTCTTCGTGTTTAGGTTAGATTGATTTATATATAGCCATTGGTGCAGTTAGTTCAAGCAGTTATTTGCCGTAGTTTATAGTTCTTTCAGGTGACTATCGGAAAAGAATACATTAGGGTTGTCTGTGTTCATTATTGATTCATCTTCTAGTGCAATCATTACTATATCATTGATATACACGATAAATAGTAATTGCCCTTATATTGAACCTGTGGTACCCCATGTTTATTGATACTTTTTTATTCTGAACTGTATTCTTGCAAGGAAGTGTACTGCAGTCGAGTTTCCAAGTAAATGCTCTTGAGGTGTATATCTATGCCACGAATACCATATACTTGGAGCTTTTCAAGCAATATTCCATGTTTTATAGAATCGAAGAACTTGCAAAATTGTAAAAAACTATACCAATAGTAAGTTTTTCTTCGATATTATAGGTCTGTACCTCTGAATCCTAATAATGCCATTTCGGTTTACTTATTCTTGTAGAAGCAATATTGTTTATCCGTAGTAATACATTTTTCCAGCAGAAAATTATCAGAGCGCTTATATATATTACGCTCCGCTACTTCCGAATAGAATGGCAGGGGCGAAATTTGTATGTAGTTACTTGTGTCATTGTGATCGCCACCATTAAAGATCACTGCAACATGAGCTACCTTCATTTTTTTTTTCAGGAAAAACTACAGTGACAAGTATACAGTTGCAAATACGTACCAATAGGCTACATATTGGGTGAGCAATTGTTTTAACAGGCTGAGCTTTGATGCCATCCTCTCCGGCAGCTGTTTTGCTGTTGAAAGAGCTAAAAACGAAATAATTTTCTTCTGGGATATAGGCGTAAGAAATATGGTTTCATAGACACGATTACCAATGTAACTTCCATGAACTTTAAGAAAATCTTGGTTTCGAGATTGGAGCACCAGCTTTACGTTACGAAGATGATTTAATTTTTCTAATTTCGTTGGTTCTACTGCACAAATGTAGTAAGGCCTAGTCAAGAGGTTTAAGGTCTCCTTTTGCGTTACATCGTGTGCAAACCCTGTATATATGCATGTACAAAGTAAAATAAAATGTCATAACGCAATAGCTTGTGAAATTCCTCACATTTGTTTAGTGAATACGCCTCTGTTTTTTTAAGTGATTTATGGTGGGATTACCGCAGTCACGAAATTTATTCACATAAGAGCTTTAAATGCAGAAGGCGAGAGTGAAAAAAGGAGGAGGGGTAGCGTTGAGGTATGAACTGTATTGTGGCCATTTCAAAGGATGGCTTTCCGCGGCTCACACACAGGTCACTTCTGAACGCGATTCGGAGTAAGGGTTCAAGAAATATGGGCACCGATTCGCCGAATGTTTCAAATCTAGACGCTGATTCCGAAATACTCACTCTTTGTTCCAATACATGTCGAAAATATGGATTAAATTAGCGCGTGCGCACGCACGCACACACACGCACGCACACACACACAAACACCCCCCCCACAAACACACACCCACACGCACACACACACACTGACAATGCTTGAGACGACTCCAAACTCTGCAGCTTACCAAAAAAGGCGCTAATAAGGACAGCATGATGCGTGCACTGTTCACCAAAGACGCAGAACTTTATTTCTGTGAATCAGTGGGCCACTGTAGCAAAGGCTATCCGGGTCGCCAGTTTGATACCAGTGCAGTCGGCTGTTGAAGTTGTCAACACCTGATGCCTACAAAAGCCTGTTGTACTGATTTCGGGAGTTAGCTTAGCGCTTACCATTGTTTTCCTGGTCCACTGTATACTTTTTTGTTGTTATTGAAGATGCAATACTACCTGTTCCCATTAAACTTTCGTTCTGGAGAAAGATGCCATTTTTTATGAACGCTACACATTTTACGTTGAAGCATACAACTTGCGGTTAAACGTTGTCTTCAAGAACAGTTCTTCGTAGTGTGACAGTGGTCTTAGACAATTTTCTTTTTGCTCAAAATATTTGACAGCCTCCGTATCTCTGCGGCGTAAAATCAAACAGCTGACGCAATAATGTAGAACAGCGCCCCCCTTTTCATTTTTTTCATTTACAGACTCCAACCAAGAAGCAGTGAAACGATGCTGGATTGCAGCAATTGCGGGTAGAAGCCTCGGCGTTTTAGTTCGAGGAAGTGTGCCTTTCTCAAATGGTATGCTAACGTCCGGCACATTGCAAGTTGCTTGCTGCCCATTTGTCGCTAATCGGCGTGGGTAGCTAATGTATAATTTGCTCCACATCAAAAATCCTACTTGCAGCACTATTTTGTGGACCTCCATATTTCACCCGAGACAAAAAAAGCGTTAAATCGTGGGCAAGGGCTTTTCGAGCACTGACAAGTCACACTCGCACAGCAACGAATCTCTACCTGCCAAAGCTCCGTTTTAGATATGTACATTTAGACTAGTTGTGAATTCTTTCTCTCTGCCAAGGTTTTAAATACCCGCTGAAACGTGTATACCAGTATGCAAGAAACATCCAGCGTAGATTCCTCAGTAAATGGCAACTGCAATCGTGCCGGTGATATCTATTGCTACGCTGGCCCTCTGTCACAGGTCCCGTTAATTTGGGAGGCAATTGCCGGGCTAATTTCAAGGGCCGAAGTATCGCCCCCCCCCCGAACCGCACCACGAAAGCGTGGACAATTTAGAAGTGGTCCTATTCGACGCACCAGCGGACACCGGCTGTGGCCCAAAGAACAAGTCAGAGCCGAGATTGATAAAAAACAAAATTATATTCTCAATTATGGCGGATCAAAATGATACACAAGTATGCACTCTCGACAATAGTTGAATACAATATGTCACCAATCAAACAATGTACTACACAGTACAATCAGCCACCCTCGAAACAACGGACACAGACAACAATACGCACTACAATGCAGTCGCATGCATCGAACAACCAAGACACTTAAAGACTAAAGAGTTAGAAAACCTATTCAGTCCAAAGTTCTTGGAACAAAAGTCTGGATGACACTCTTCCGAGAATCACTTACTCAAAGTCTAGCGTTGTTGTCATTCCGCTGCCCCCGAAGATTCTCTTCCAGGAAACCTCGCGTATTCAATTGGCCACTCTCCAAGCTTCAAACTTCTTCACCGGAAACACGTCGGCTTCACACACGCAGCTGTTGCCACGCATCTTCGCTCAATAGCGGTAGACACACACTCTTGCCTGTAGCTCGAGCCTTCACACTCAAGTGGAAATCCTCTTCTTCTCCCCCCTTGTCACGCAAGACAAAAGGCTTCGCCCACAAGGCGGAACACCCTACGCACTCTGGCGCATACTTTCTTCTTCTCCTGCTTTGTCACTAAGGACAAAACCTTCACCGCCTGACGCGGCGGGATACCCTACGCACTCCGGTGCGAAATTCCTTCTTCTCCTGTTTTGTCACTGAGAACAAAACCTTCGCCGACGACACGGCGGAACACCCTACGCACTCCGGCGCGAAATTTCTTCTTCTCTTGATCTCCTATCTCGACTGCTATATTAAATACCTTCCGCGCAAGATTCCAGAAAGTTCTCATCATTTCGTCGGCGCGATATGCAGCGAAGGCTGGGGAAAAGGCGACATGGTACGAGGGCCGTCCGCGACGGATGACGCAACCCTGCATCACCACGCGCCTTTCCATCGAGAACGTTCCAGGGCTTTCTCGGGCACCGATGATAGGAGGCTCGTCGGCGAACCCACGCTTCCGAGGGGAGAGGGACGCGCGCCAGGGGAGTCTTTGAATGCTTGTTTTCTTTATTTATTGTTGACCTTTCAGCGCTT